TTTTATTTATTTAATTTTTTTATATATATGTATATATATAATATATATTTTGCAGATGCAGGTGAGGGGAGTCTGGTCCAAGATGCACTACCAAAATAACAAATATAGTGCATTTTCATGTTGTTCCCTACTCAGATATTCTAAAAGCCTAAAATGAGGACTGGGATTAAGCTGTAATATAACAAGAAGAGTCACACATCTTTTGTCATAACAGGTCTGTCCTGACTGTTTTTTTTTTTATTTCCATGGGGCTGTTTAAGAAGTAAGGTACTCTTCAGCCTCGGTAAAGAAAGCATAATCTTAAGCCCTGGTGCCCCTTGTGCCATATACAGCTTAATTTTCACCTTGTTTAAAAAAACTGTAATTTTCAGTTTTCTTCAAGAGAATAAATGCTTTTGAAAGACCTTGATTTGTTTTTGAACAAATGTGATTGTTAAGAGGGTTGTAGATTCCAGAAGGGAATTGGTTAGCTTGGAACGGAACCAACAAGAATCACAAATGGACTGCCTTGCCTGCCAGTTGCCTTTTACCTCCGCAAATAAGGTCTGAGACAGAAGAGATGCTGGAAGGACCAGTTGGGAACAAAAATCATGGTTCCCGTGGCAAGCTGCCAATGAAGAACTCCCCGGTATTGTGCTTGGGAAAAACTGATGTATCTTCCTGGAGAAAGACAATAAATACCTGCTCTGGGAGGACAGACTGTAGTATACAGACACTGCACGAAGTAGGGAGCTTTGCAGATAACTGGCGCGGTTACGGTGAATCATCAACCATAGTCCAGGTTGCTCTGTGATAATGGAGATGCTTTTCGTGGAAATCAAGTGTGTGCGTTGACGTGCAGATGCCATTTTCAGGTTCCTCGTAGGAGGAATCCTGTCCTACAGCGCTGATAGCAGAAGAATATGGTTCTGCTTAACCAATGAGTATACTTGTAGATGTTCAACTGTTGGTTTTCTGTTTTCGAACAAAATCAAGCAATTTGCTCAACACCCAAACAGTCGTAAAGGAAAGAATCATAAAGACATGATCTTCTCCGTGTGTTCAAGAATGACAGTTAAAAAGAAGACATAAAGTAAAATAAAGAGCATTTTGAAATGTCAGGAAGTTGGTGCTGGAGTCTTACCTTGAGCAGGGTTTTACTGAGAGCACAGTCTGCATGGGCTGTCTTCTGGAGCAATGCTTAGTGTCAAAAAAAATGTACGAGATCTATACGGATCAGTGTATGAATTTTGTGGACCTTATTGTTGCTGTTTCGTTTATGAAGCTGACATTTTAAGTGCAGCTCCAGGCAATTACGAATCAATTATAACCCACAGTTATATTGCAATTTTAATGTATTCATTGCCCTGTAGTTGCAAAGACAAATCATCCCACTTTGCTTAAGGTCAGGAGTTTGATAAAGATCATTCAGCCTTCCAGTTTAAATGGAGGTAGCTGGAAATAATTATTAATTAGTCGGACTGAAAAGGGATTGATGCTCTCACACATGATATTTGTTATCTCTTACAGGCAATTTCATTCCTTACACCACTAGCAGTCATTTTTGTGGTGAAAATAATCCGGCGAACAGACAAGACTGAAATTAAAGAGGCTTTCTTAGGTAACGTATGTCATACTTCAAGATGGAAAATGTATGATAGCTCTCAGAGATTGATTCCAACTGTAGTCTAACCCTTGAAGAAAATGTCTCCATTACAGTAGTTTTCCGTGCAGTTATAGTTGCAAGCCATCTCACAAAAGCCTTTGTTTTTATGCGTGTTTCTAACTGTCCAAATTTTGTGCCTTAATTCCACAATCTAGCTAGCAAGGGCCAGAATTTGATCAGCAAAGACAAGACCATCTGAGAGAGTGTTCAGATGTATGTTTTTCTGTCACAGCCAGTCTGTTACTTACCTCTTATTTATACTTGCAGCTATTCTAAATTAAGGGCTTGACTGGAAAGCCCTGCGAGACTCAGATGCTTAGTGTAGGAAATTACTCCGCTCTTGTTTTCTCTGACCTTCTCCTGGAGTTTACTGTTTCCCATTGCAAAATCCGTGTTCATGGCTCAGTTTTTCTAATCACAAGCTGATGTTTCGTCTTAAACTGCTAGTGGAGTTAGATGTGCACTTAATCCCGGCCTGTGAACTGCTGTGACTGTGTTATGGGTGAGGTCTAATTACAGCTGTAGGCAGCAACTTTGAGCAGAGGAGCAGGTGGACAACGGGGATGGTAGGTCTTAAACTGTTCCAGCTAATTCTGGCTGCACCTATCTTTTGAAATCTTTTAGTGATACATGCCCAGATCCTTTTTACACAGATACTGCCAGAGACCAAAACTGACTAAAGCACTTGCACTGGCAAAGTGTACTTTGAAGTGCTAAGAACTGCAAATGTTTTTGTTGGCAGTATGTTTGAAATATGCCTAATTCTGAAATTCTGTTTTACTGCCTAATTTAAACTTTAATTTATTGGCCCTTAGATTGTAAGGTTAAATCAATACTCAGCCTTGCATTAGCTAGATAGGATGTAAATGGCACTATGTATCTGCCTTTGACATTTTTTTTCTTAGATGAGGCTGGGTTCCCATAGCTTGTTGTTTCTCCAGTTGCTCTAATACAAGTGAGAAAAGATCCTGGTTTTGTTTTGGCTGCTGCCAGTCATTTGTAGTAAATTCTGAAATGCCTTACGGTGATACTTAACCGACAAGTCCATTCAGTTGAAATAACTCTGATTCATAAAATGCATACACTCACAGCTCTGAGTTTCACTTTCTGTTGTTTAAGAAGGAAAGGAGCTTTGGATTAGTTTCTCCATCACTTTTCTCACCTTTTTGTTCTAAAGAGACATTCATTTTTTCTGCTGTTCTGCCTTCTTTTATGATTCCCCCTGTAATGTGGAGGAGAAAACTTGCCGGCTTCCCCAGTATTCTCCTTGCTACCCAGACTTTAAGGAAACCCCAGCCTTGATGTTCTGTACGGCAGGGTATCCCTGTTCAGTATGTGCCGTAAGTGTGGAACTTCTTGTGGCTTATTTATGCTCAAGTGTACTGTACGTTAATGTAATTCAGTATGTTAATGTGTCTGGTGAGGGGAAGCTGATGTGAAGATTCATTAACCGTGGAGGAGCTCTGCTGATTTGCTGAGATCTGGCATATAATGTTCATAATAAATGATCATGGTTCATCTCGAAAAGGTGAATTTCTTTAGGCATCGTACATAGAAGGGATCAAAGGTTAAAAAGATGTGAAAATGCTTTGCCCTTCATATAGCCATTAGTATAAAGAAGGTGATTCCGTGCATCGAGGGTAAGGTGTAGTTAGTTAGCTTTCTGGTGTAGGTGCACTTACTCCTTCCCCTGGAAGTGCCTACAGCTCTCTGAGGACTAGGTTATACGACTTCTGGTGGGCAGTATGAATCTTTCCTGAAGGGAACAAAATGGGAGCAAATGCAATTTGTTTATCAGCTTACATTCACGCTGTCATTTGATACTTGCATTGCCATTGTGGAGAATATGCAACAGTGAAAGCGTGGTTCCGTCAGGTATGCAATGAATAATCAAGACAAAGCTCAATGCAAAGAGTAAACTTTACCACATGTCTTAGCAGATACCTCTACATCTCCCATTTTTTAAAAGGAGAATGTAGTGCTGTGACACTGCTGGTTGTATGTGTTTGTGGAAAATTTCACTTCAACATGCAATAACCATAAATAACCGAGAGAAAACAAAATTGAGAGGAAAAAGAGGGCATGAGATGTAGTCACTGTGAACATCGATGTTGAAAGTAGGAGACACTTGAACAATAATAATGTCTCTAGGATTGACTTGTTCTTTTATTTTTGCTGGCAGCTATAGCTATAGTTTAGAAAACCCTTGTTTTTGCTTTGATGGAGGACCGCCTTTATTTTTAAAAGGAAAAATAGATCTTCTAACACACACATTTTTATCATCTATAGTATCCTCAGGCAAAGATTTTTGTGGAGACAGGATGAGTGCTGCTGAAGTGTAGCATCTGGGGCAGCAATCCAATGAGAAAATAGCTGTCATAATCAAAAGTTATATTGCTGTAACTGTTCTGCTGGAAATCAGAGATTTGCCTGATAGTTTTTTTTCTGATGGGAAATAAAATTCAGTGGCTCTTGTGCTGTCACAGGGACTACAACATTACATCGGTTTTAATCTAAAAAGAGTGTATGAACTGGATCCAAGTGCCACTGAAACCAAGGCAGAGATCTCCACAGGCTTTAGATGAGGTTCTTCAGAAAGCCTAGGGACTCAGCATGCAACTACAAATAAAAAACATGATTGTCACACCTAGTAGGACAGCTCCTGTTTATTACTCCAACTTTATTAGGAAAATTAGTTAATCCTGGGAGCAAATGTAAGGGGAAAATGCCAAGATTTTTGTCAAAACGTCCACATCCTTTTGAAAGAAAAAAAAAATCATCCAATTCTAGTTTTAGCAAAAAGGCAATTCTTTAGCCTGAAAGTGTACTGTTTACTTGTCATGCATATATATACACACACATACATAAACACACGCGCCTGTGTATGTATCTTACATGTAGGTCTATACAGGAATTCTCCTTGACCCAAAGAGAATAAGATTTATATCTAGTAAATTGCAAAACTGATACACACAGTACTTGATTCTCTACTAATTGTTTCCATGTGATGATTTATGCCTGTGCAAATGACATGATAGGAAAACTGTCTTTGCGCAAGGAAATAGCATTTCTCAATAGTAAAAGCAGAACAAAGTCAGTCATGTGATTATTATGATGCTCTGGGGTCTGTCCTTAGTCTGGGTAATAACAAAAACAGTAGGCTGCAAAGATTATTCAGTTTTCAGCCCAGTAAAGGTTTCAGTCTGTAAATCAAATGCTGTAATGCTGCAATTTATAGCTTGGTATTTAGGTTATTATTGTTCTGTTTGTTCATTCTGTTTTGTAGCTGTTTCCTTGGCTCTAGCTCTGAATGGCGTCTGCACAAATACTATTAAATTAATAGTGGGAAGGTAAGTCTTGTCATCTTATAAATTATAGCTTTAACTGTGAAGAGAAATGAAGACAGATTGACAAATACAATCCATCTTAATAAAAAGATAGCTGCTGCTCCAAAGCATGTTGAATTAGAATGAGCCCCCGTGAAGCTGTGCTTTCCCTGGTGCAGGTGTTGTACAACTTGATTATGTGACATCCAAGTGTGGTAGGAATCTGTGCCCTTGTGTGTTGTTATTTGTTCGACTGGTTGGCAGACCCAGACAAACGAGGATTTTGAAAGGAAAGGTGTGAGCTGAAATCAGTTCATTAAATTGGCAACGCAGGAGGGAAGAATCACAGCATGTGGGAGTCCAGATGCCAGTGCCGCTGGTCTGATAAATAGGAATCAATTGAGTCTCGATATAACCCAGTGCCTGCATTTTGCGTGAAGCATATTACTGAATGTGGTATTTCCAGGTCACATCAAGATCCATGGCAGAGCAAGCCTTGGAGCTAAGCAGTAAGTGGACTTCTAGGTAGGCCATTTTTTTAGGGAAGCATAAATATGAATGAAGGGCTCAGAAAAATACTAGCAAACAAAACTCTCTGGAAAATAACTTTTTTAGGTACTATTTGGCTCTTTATCAAAATTTTGAATAATTTCAGCTGAAAAATATATATTTGACTTGAATTCATACACAATTGAATGGAGCCCAGTGCTGCGTTTGTTGTTCACCTGTTCTGCAGCATTGAGGAAGCAGTATTTGTGCCTGGTTTCTGATGAACCCTCTCTGCGGCAGTACTGATTCCCTGACAATAATGGTACTTGGCACTTTTATTTTAAGCGTGCTTTTGAAATATAATTAAGCATGTCTGCACCATCTTCTTCAGGCAGACACGAGCTCATTTTGCCTGCACTCCAAGCCAACTAGTTGCTCTGTCAGCTTGTCTCTTAATCTGTGGTTATTCGCCTTGCTTCTCTATATGGTTTATCAGCTCAGGATCAGTATGACATCAGTCAAACCTATGTGCTATCATTCAGCTCAGAGCAGGGTCAAAAGAAACTTGGAGGCTTGTTCAATGCCGTTAGAGAGTCAGCATCAAGGCTGGCATTAGAATTTGATGGTTGTTTTGGTGCCAGTCTTGTAGCCCAGGTTGTAGTCCTGTTCTCAGCTGGGTGTGTTGGCAAGACTGGTACAGCTTTGTGGGGTCACAGAGTCACAGAATCACTAAAGTTGGAAAGGACCTTCAAGATCATCAAGTCCAACCATTAATCCAGCGCCACCATGTCCCCTGCACTGCTGCTCTGTCACTGGCAGTGCCGTGCAAGATTGGTTGCTCTGGGCAAGAGTAACCAACTCTGCACGTTGGTTTTCAGAGACAACTCCCACTTGCATGCTGCACTGGAAGCTTCCCTGAGAGAGCCTGCCTGCAAAAAAGTGACCTTAAATCCTTGAGTTGAGGGACGTGGTTTAGTGGTGGACTTGGCAGTATGAGGTTTACTGTTGGGCTCTGTGATCTTAAGGGTCTTTTCCAACCTAAATGAGTCTATGATTTCTGTTGCTGTGTTAAGGTAGGAGGGAATGAACTCTGTGTGTAATAAGCAGTAAATGTAATAATCACTTTGAGGTTTATTTGTTACTACAGCTTTTATATTTTTAATATCCATGGTGTTTTTTGTAGACCGCGTCCCGATTTCTTTTACCGCTGCTTTCCAGATGGAGTAATGAACTCTGAAATGCACTGCACAGGTGATCCAGATCTGGTGTCTGAAGGCAGAAAAAGCTTTCCAAGTATCCACTCTTCCTGTAAGTTCATTTAAATGCAGTGCCTCGTTTGTAAAAAGCTATCTGTGTTTTGTAATGTGCTCTTTTTTTGTTACATCATGAACCTGATTTTTTCTGGAGGGGCCTGGACTGCTGTTTTAGGTCACCAATCCCAGGAATTATCTTTGGGAAATAAAATTGTGAGCCTGTGACCCTTCCTTATCTTGACAACCACCTGACTTCACCGAGAGGCATAGCAGGACTATGAGTAGAGTGAAGCACTATTCAAGGTTAAAGAAAACCGTGTGGTTCCGAGGCGGTATCTGTTCCCTAACGCAGACCTCCATATGCAACCTTTGCCTATATAGTAAATATTTATTTTGTTATATTCCGTCGAAGTATGAAACGTTGACAAGGCATGTTTGACCTGCATAGTTTTGACAAGATCTAGTTAATATCTTTCAAGTACTAGATCTATTAAACCCAAGTTCAAGCCACAAAGAGAATTCAACTGCTTTTATCATTAAGGTTTCTTCATGGGAGGTTGCATGCTTGAAGGTTGAGGGAGTAGAAAAGAATACACAGAGATCACGTTGCAACGTTTTGATGCTGTTCATCCTACCGAAGTGGGTACAACGTGAGCTTCAAGAAGTCCCTGTAGCACTAGAAGCTATTGTAATATGCCAGTAGAAGGATGATTCTTTCATTCCCCGTTTTCTTATTCTTTTGAGAATATGCACTGCTGGCTGCAGCTAGAGGAGGGATCCTTGTCTCTGTAGGCCTTGATTCTGAGGTGGTATGCTTCCATGTTCAGATGTCTACTGCAACTGGGCTGCTTTGCCTGGGCGCAGGCAGGAGTAAACGGTAGCTCTGTTCCCAGCTCAGGCAAGCAGAGGAGAATCGGTCTATCGATAGTGTCTTATTTAGAGGAGCAGGTGGGCAGCAAACGGGTAAATTTGGCGCAGTTTGGCATTTCTGTGGGTTTTTGTCTGCTCCTGGGACGGCACAGTCACTTGTCGCTCCACTTGGCTTTGAGGTGGTCTGATGGTTTGGGCAGTTCCTCCTCGCTTATGCTGTATCCTGACAGATATTTAGGTGGCTTTATGAAAACTTGTATGTCTGATTTCATTGGTTGTATTAACTCGGATGTTTACAAAGGTTCCTTTCTCTGTCTCGAGGAGCTGACTTCTCGAGTGTTTTGTCAAGTGTCTAATAAAACTCCTTTTCATCTGTAAAGTAACTTCATTACTGTGAGCTTTTTTGTTGTTGGCCAGTATTGTTTGTTACCTTGTGCTGTTCTGTTTCTGAGAACTGCCGTTGAGTATCAGTAAGTCATATCTCTGGAATTTGTTTTTCTGATTTTTTTTTTTTAAAGTAATAACTTCAAATTGTCTAACTGTGCAGACTTACATATTTCAAACAAGTTGGGTAAGGAGATGAATGAAATTCTGAGGTGACCTTGCTCCCTTTTTCTGGTTTGAGTCCCAGAAACAGATAAGGCGGTAGTGGATGTTTGCGGATGTTAGAAGCTTTATAGTCCTAAACAATAACCAACTTAGCTGTGTCAAGTTTTGTTTGTAAGCTTCGATTACATGAAAGAGACAGTAGGACAATATACTGTATGCTATTAAGAACAAATGGTATTTATTGCTATTTGTAGTCTGTCTTCAGATCTGGTTGTCACACTTACTTAACCAAGAGGATTGCAATTATTTCATCAATGTACAACAACAGAGGCTTAAAATACGTGCACATATACAGTGATGTACTGGAATTTCCAGGTTAGCCCTCAACAAGTGTTACAGTTGGTCACTACTGAAACGCCACAGTTTACTCTGAGGCTGCGAAGTGTGAGTTGCAGAAGGTGCTCAGTGTGCTTTTTTTTGCACAGACTGGAAGCGCTGTGTGTAGCATCTCGGCTTAGCTCTGGCACACACGCTAGTTCTCGTGGCGAGACTGCACGTCACACGGCAAAGTGCTTTGTCCCTGCGCCAGTGGGGTAGCCACAGAATGCATGCTGGGGTTTTACTTTTAACTGGTGTTGGTTTTGTAAGCACTGAGTTATGTTAGTGCAGCTCACACAAAACTCAGGTGGAGCAGAATGATGGCCCGCTGTATTTAGATCAAAATTATGAGGACAGCTTTCTCCATCGCGGACTAATATAATACTAGCATGCGGCTGAGTTGACTGTATTTCCCACTACAAAGCCTTTTATTACCATGTGATAAGAATGAAAAGGTATTATATATGCAGTAATTTTTATCTGTTGGTAAGGGTATGCTAGAGTGAGGCAATTCTGCAGCTGCTTCAAACTTGGCTGTTTGAAGCCCAGCATTATAATATCTAAGTCTCTGACAAGAGTGTGTTTTGAAGCCTTAAAATCCATGCGTATTTTAGTCTTATAATGGAGAAGAAAACCATTTTAATTTGATAATCTTACAATGCTAACCTCTGCTCCTTCCGTGTAGCAAAACTACTTACAAAAGCAGGATTGTCAGTATTATTTTGTCAAGAATAGTTTATAGTTGTGATAAGTTCAGTTTCTTCCTGTTACTTCATCCCTCACTAGACTGAAGAGTGAAAAGCAAAAAATATTATGGGACACACAACATTATACCACCTTCCGGGACCTATGAAGCAATGAGCATGTTGAGGATATAATAATTCACATTTGGAAATTTTGCTATAATTCTGCATTTTCAGTATTTTGTTTTGTGTAATGTATGAACTGTACCTCCTCTACCTCCCACTGCGTAGGAGTGGAGGAGTTATTCTCTTATCTCAGTTTTAAAAAGCTGTCCTTCCTGCCTTCTTTACAGGTAGGTAATTGCAAACTTTCCTTCCATAAACTCAGTCCAAGAGTTTTTCTTGGCTCCTTTCTCCTTTCCTTCAGCATACAACTGCTACTAGGTAAAATGAAGGAGTTCCTTTCTTCAGATTTCTGTCATCCTTTCTCTGTAGTAGAATTTGTGAAGCAGCACTAAAAAAGGGTTTTTGTTTCTGTTACTGTTTGGTTGGTTTTTTTTCTATTTTCATAGCTGTGGAAATGTAAGTGGGGAGGATGAGAGTTGACATAAACTATAGCACCTCTCTTGGAGTGGTAGTTGCAAGTAGCCCACTACAGTTTGGTGTTTTCTACTTCACTTGAACACATGAAGAAAATAAATCACAAGTAAAAGCTGCCAGGCAGCTCATAAAGAGAGCTTGGAAGCTTCAGTCAAGAACCATTTTCATCTTCAAAACAGTTTTTCTTAGAGCATTCCTTGGATAGGCTGTCAATCAAAACCTTTGTTATACCAGGACCTAAAGCCTCATCCATGCGAAATGAGGCCTTTAACAAGAAAGTCTGTGGTGCTGTGAATGTTGTGCTGTAAGATGTAGTGCAGGGATGTATAACAAGAGTGACAGTACTGACCCCCCTGGATGGCCTGACCTGACCCTGCGTACTCAATAAAAACATTGTGAACTACCTGTCTTCCAGTTTGAGAGTCAACTTGTGCTGTGAAGGAGAGTGTGTTCTCCTTATTAGAGCACAGATGATTTTCTTGGCTTAAATTACCATGTCTTTCATCTCCCTGTGCCAAGGAGTGCGTGTAATACAAATAAATATATACGGAGCACAAACTGTTTTGTAAAGCCAAAGAGTGACTTGCAGATAGATGCAAACTATAGTTGCCTGAAACAATTCTCTTGGAGTTTGAGAGTCAACTTGTGCCCTGAAGGAGAGTGCCCGGACACATTTTGTACCAAATCAGAACAGGAGTCTGACCCACATGAAGACAGTGGTGGTGTTACTACCCTCTTTGGACAAGGAGCAGAACTCTACCTGCAGTGCTGCTGACAATGTACTTTGAGCTGGAATACTTCATTCAAGGCTGCTGTCTCCTAGCTGTCTTTCACTGTCCTTTTCTGGAAAGACTGTTGAAGTTAGGTGATTCCTGTTGATAACTTTTTATAACGGCAACTTGAGTTTAGAATCTACACAAGCGCAACCCAACATTAATGACTCCATTGAAATTCACCCATTAGTGCATGTCTACTGGATTAAGGAAGTCCCTGGACCTTCTGGGTTGTTTGGAGCGTATTTTGCCTCTTTTTCCAGTTGAACTGCCAGCATATCTTGTTTGAGGGAACCAACATTTTGGGATAGGGAGCCAAGACTCCTGCCTGGGTCCAGTAGCTCAGAGTTGCTCCTGAGTGCCAGGTTTATAGGTAGCTATTCTGACTAAAACGCTTCCAAAGTGTAGGTCTGTTTTTTCCATATTTAGTATTTCCATTGTTTTATGATCCGTTGGCAATTTTCTGCTGTTCAGAGCTACTGTTTGTGGAGATACCATGCAGCTTCTCTATGTCCATACGTCACTGAAAGAATGATGTTTATGAAAATCTTAAATGCAGCATTTCTTCTTCCTGCCTGTGTCCTTCCTGTGTGTCTTCTGTAGAGTTACCTTGCAGAGAGCCTTCAGGCAGCCTGCCTTGGCGATACCTCACAGCATCCTAACCTCTCAAGGTATGTGGAGTAAGCACACATACTCTTCAGGGTTTGTTCTGGATGTACTTTGCAAGCTCGTTATCCAAATAATAAGCAAGTCTCTCTCAAAGGTGGCCCTGAGAACAGTGTGAATTTCTGAACTTCCAAAATCCAGTTATACCATCTGAAAGTGCTGACCGTAGTAAGGAGTGGAGAAATTCAACCATCTCTGTGGTGAGCTTCTTAAGAAACTTTTTCTTGTGTTTGGTGAAGTACATTTATGCATTTGCCAGTTCAAGGAAGATTTCACAAGGTGCCATTCTTTCTATAGGCCACAAGCAGCAAGTGTTTGATTGTCTGGTATTTATATAGACAGAGAGGACAGTTTAGTTTGGTGACAAAATCTGTGATTTTTACAATTACCGTGGGGCCCTGAGGGAGAAAGTCAGCTTTCCAGTCCAGTTTTAAATTACCATTGCTATAATTGGGCAAATATTTTTGTTTAGAGAATATCTTTAAATTTCTTCAGGGAACATGTTCAGCCTACAAGTGATCGGGGTTTTTTCATGC